ATGATTCCAGAACTATATTGAATAGGAGTGGTGATAGAGGACATCCTTGTCTTGTACCAGATCTGAGAGTAAAAGATTTCAGTTTTTCCCCATTTAGAATTATGTTAGCTGTTGGGTTTTCATAAATGGCTTTTACCAGATTAAAGTAGAGGCCTCTTTTTAAATCATGAACAGTATTCTTGGTTAAAATTTCAAGTACAAGGGCTGGCCAAATAGCTCAGTGGATTCAAGTGCCTGCAAGCATGCGCAGGGGCCAGGGGTTTGAACCCCAGACCTGCCCTGTCGGCCCGGCGTGCTGAAACGGCAATTGGGTCTGAGTGTGGTTGTGGGCGCCTGTAATCCCAGCTCTTGGGAGGCTGTAAAAAGGCAGATCACTGTGAGTCCGATCTAGTGGTGAGACCCTGAACACCCTATAGACCATTCCCTAAAATACAAAAAAAGAAAAGAAAATTCAAGTACAGAAAGATACAAAGTGACTAAATGGTGGTGCACAACTTAATTCCAGCACTCAGCAGGTTAAGGCTGGAGGACCAGGCGTTCAAGACCAGCCTGGATGGCTTAATAAGAACTTATCTCAAAAATAAATAAATAAATAAATAAATAAATATCAAAAGATAAGTATTTCTCCTTTCCCTCAATTTTACTTCCTAATCCAAACCTATTAATTGGTTGTTCTCCTCTCCTCTCAGAATTCTTTTTTTTTTTTCCCTCAGCAGTTTTTCTATGCTTTTCTATGTATTATGAATGGGATTATAATACATATAAAGTTTTTTCTTTTAACTGATGCCTCAAAAATCTTACTCATGTGAACACACAGCTTTATCTAGACCCATCTAGATCTAGGTCATCTTTTTTCCTTCCTTCCTTCCTGCCTTCCTTCCTTCCTTCTTTCCTCCTTTTCCTTTATTTTTTTTTTATTTTTATTTTTTCTGATGACACTAGGAGATTGAACCCAGGGTATTTACACTGAACTATATTCCCAGGTCATTTTTATACATTTTTTCAATTTTCCAGACAGGCTCTGTTTAAGCTGCTACCAAGTCTGGGCTGATCTCCTACTTATAAGCTTCCTGCCCCAGCCTCCAAAGCTCTGGAATTACAGGTTTGTATCATCATACCTGGCTTCAGGTCATTCTTTTTTTCATGTTTTATGTTTATATATTTATATTATTGTTAAATGAAATCTACATGAAGCCATTGGTTCAGAAGCACAAAATAGTGACTTTTATGCAAAAATTTTAATCCTGTGTTCTACCTAGAAGAGAGT